TGCACTCTCCCATCAGCACCAGCTGAACCAATCCCTGGCGAGCCGAGTAGCTCAAATCATGCAGAACATTCAGCAAACAAGCAGCTCCGGGCTCCGAAATTCCTCAGATGCAAATTACATGTTGCAAGGAAGCAAAGTGGCAAACTCATTGACCCAGTAAGATTGTAAGACTTCTATGGTATCTGCGCTTCCACAGTCCAACAAACAACAGCGCAACATCACTCGATTGTTTCTCAGATATGAAATGGTAAAAGGGTGCCAAGGTTGCATGCCTAATGCATACCGATACTCTGCGTTGAACATTTCCATCGTGCACTGATGTGAATGACAACAGCTACCCATTTGAACAGAGTCCTCTGTCCACGTGTGCATAGAATTTCCGTGGTCCCATGCGGTCCCATGCTGGTTGGGTGCTTCCAAGCTGGGAAGAGGCAATGCTGAAACATGGAGTTGGGTCAAGTCTGACAAACTTAAGTGCTTAAAGCATCATCTGCCGTTGGCTATAGGGCTGCTGCGGATGTGGATGCAGTGGTGCCTGCTGCCGATGCATTCACCAGCCTCGCCGGAATACAAACAAACTGATTAAATTGCTTTTATGATTCTACGACGTGTAAATTGGAATGCTGTGCCCAGCTGATCGCAAGGCCGTCATATGCTCTCTGTCTCTCTCTCTCTCTCTCTCCCTCTCTCTTTCTCTGTCTCTGTTACTCTCTTAGTCACACTGAAAATGTCGCTCGGCCACTTGGCTGGCTCTGGCTTCATGATGCAATGCTTGGTTGACTATACTGGAAGTATAGGCGCATGATATATATGAGCCTTCCATGTTGATCAGAGCACTCAAAGCACATGTGCTGAGCACGGTTGCCCAACACAGTTCAAAACCAACACGTTCACCTGTAGCAAATAAACTTGCGTAGCTTTCTTCATCCTCATGTTCTAAAGCCAAGCAGCTGGCACAACCATTCTTTACAGCATTCGCAAATGACCGTCGCCTGGTTCACAGTCTCGCAAGATACATCACTTGGAATGTCCCCAAACAACCTCAGTTGGAACATAAGTTCGGAAAAGCAGCCCTTCAGCGCCTTGCCCATGGTTTTCGAATCTTAAGATATTTCTGGCTGACATTGGGTGGGTGAGGGGCCAACCATTCTTGTTGCAAATGTTTCAGGCAAGTCGTTCGTTGTTCATCCATTCTATGTGTGTCTTTGTAGTGTAGAAAAAAATGAATCCATCTTTCTGATCCAAGTAGCTTTGACAACGAAGGTTTCTTCTTCTGAGCTCTATTCGAGGGACTTGGGCGCGACGATAGAAACACTGAAGGAAGATTCTCAAGACGAAGCCCAAAGTCAGAAAGCACAGACGCCTTCAATATTTCACGAACACGTGTCGCACAGGTTGTGTGCCAGTGCAACAAGCAGAGCCCGCACTGCATTGACCCGGGTACGCTGGTCAACAAACAAACGACACACTCACATTCACGCTTGTCATGGGCATCAGCAGCACCCGCTGGTTTGGTTGGGTATTCATTGCTCCTAGTTGGGCTGACTACATCTTTGGAGCTGCTAGGTCCAAGCAACTCAGGATCCTCACATGCAGTAGGGTTTCCCAACAAGCAATTAGTGTATATTGTTTTGAGGCGCATCACAGACTCAGAAACTTGAGGCCTTTCCTTTCTTTTGACCCTCCGGACTCCGGTTCCTATAGCGGGATGAAGACATTCAGCACCATCAAAGGAAACCAGTGCAGATATCCAATTTACAGGGCATATCAGGCCGTCATTTTCATCGATGCGAACGGACCGACCCGTCAATGATGTGATGTCTGACCACTGGACGAAGTCGATAGAAATGTTGCCATCTTCTATCATACGCAGCATTAAGGAAACTTGCCTATCCTTTCCCAGTTCTATCTGTTGCAAGGAATCGCGTCTCTCCACCAATGATGCTGCAGAGACTTGCAAAGCATCCTTCCACCTGACCACTCCATTGTGAACTTGTCCAAACGGTGGCGGTGCTCCGTCCGTGCTTGATGAAGCTGATGCTGGTTGATGCACATCACTGACAGTGACAGTAACACCCTGAGTGTGACCGCGTCCCATCAGCACTTCCCTCAACCAAGAGTCGTTTTCCATATCATGTACATTCAAAACAGATGTATACCCCTCAGTGCTCACAGGATCGATCAGAGAATCAAGACTGTCCAGTTCTTTGTTGTCTTTGTTTTGTTCTGCAAGTTGATCAGAAGCTACAGCTGCAATCCTATGACTAGCTTCTTCGGCTTCCAGTAGATATCCACCTCCCCACTTGAGTCGATGTCATTGTTTGATTCACGTCCGTCAGCATTGTCCAGTCCCATTGCAAGGTCCCATTCATCACCGAAAACCTCACAATCACTGTCTGCACCATCATTGTCATCCAAACTTCTGTGAAGCACACTGTCCTGGCTACTATCTGAGTGGTCTGAGTCAGGGCATTCGTCACCAAGATCATCATCATCATCCAATTCCAAAACATGATTGTCAAAACCTCTCAAGACATCGTCAACTGGCAAATTGGGACAGACATTTTCTTTGTCAAGTAGTTTCTTGGCTTTTGGTTTTGTTGACCGTTTCTTCCGACGTGGGGGCCGGAGAACACACACCTCTGCAACATTCGGAATGTCTGGCGTTGACCAAGCAAAGAGACTTCCAAAGCTGGATTGAATCACTTCGACAATGCATATCGTACATAGCTGATTCTTGGTCACACATTCAAAGGCTGCTGCAATAACATTGTTGGATTGCGTAGGGGAACTGCGGTTGTCATACTGAAAAGCGACATGTTTGCAATAATTCTGGATAGCTTCCAAAGGGGATGTATCATCGGAAACATGCGCCTCCACATTCTCAACTGGCGCATGTGGTTGAAGCTTGACAAGCATACCTATGGAACGCGACTTCTCTCCCAATACAAAAACCTCGTAGGTAAATAGTTCCTCACCCTGCAAATGTGGCAGTGGCTGTGGCTTTCTCAGAACTAAAGCTGGAACCCCATCAAGTGATGTTGGCTTGAAATTCTTGATGGCAGTGATGACTTGCTTGTTGTAGGAAACAGTCTGTCGAACTGATCTGGGCGGTAGCAATGCTGGATTCCACAATTTGCAGCTGCCACTTTGAACAGATTCATCTGCAGTGACGCTCCACCGGTTCAGGTCACCTAAAATCTCAGCCCGCGAGTCCCAATAGAGAAAACAACTTCTCGCCATCCCGGAAGCCCATGGTATAACTTCCTTAAACTTTGTGGCATTGCCCGTCATTTTTGCTATGGTCTTTCGTATACAAACCCTTGAGCAAAGAAGCTCCAGGCTGATATTGGTGTTCTGGGCACGGTGCATTGCTGCTTTGATTACTGAGTTCAGACCCTCTAGCTCCTGGATGTCTGTGCGTAACATTAGGGCTGCTTCAATGAGAACAGATCTCAGCAAACCTTTTGGGCGAATGGTTCCAGATGTCGATGCCACCCACAAATCCTCCAGGCAGTGGGCTTTCAATTTGCGAGCGTTTGCTTCCAAGAGATCATCTTCAGTGTGCAAAATTTCCAAAGCGATTCCTGAGACTTCGGCAGAAATTTGGGCATTGAAGTAACATGAAGATGATATTCAAGTTCAAGAAGCACATTGGCCTTTTGGGATAGAATCTGAACCAGTGAGCCATGTCAATAACCCAAAGCCAAGCAAGACACCATCGTTCCAATAGAGAGCATTGTTTGCAACAGTCTGTCAGAGTCACCGTCATCTTCAGGCTGAAGCATGGCTAGAGTTCAACAATTTCAACCAAAACTTGGTTTAACAACACACTTCGCTCACATACATACAGACAGACATACAAACATGCACACGAACATACATACAAACATACATGCATACACGCATACATACCCCCCACACTGACATTGACAGCAAAATTCAACACAGCCATCAAAACATTATCTATTTTCAAATAATCATGGCTCATGACAGCCGCGACAGGCCAACAAGACCAACCGCAATTCAGCAGTTCAGCAGTCCAGCAGCAGCAGCAACAACTCATCACTACCACCACCACCACCAGCACCACCGCCACCACCCCAATCACAACCACAACCCCGGCCACAACAGCAACCACAACCAGAAACAGAGCCACCACACAGAGCAACAACCAATCATCAATCACAGGAGTTAAAGTCCAGAAAGCCAGAAGGCCCAGAAAGCACTAGGAGCAGGACAAGCAACAGATGCATCACACATTGTGAGTTTTGCAGTTGCAGACATCTTGACAAAAATCTACATCGGTTACATAGGAAAGTCAACAAGTCAACAGTGCTATGGCTGACAAGCAGAGGAAGAATTTGACATGCAATCACAACATTGGCGGCCAATGCATTGACAGCAAAGGAAGCAATGACATGACACCAGCCGACTGCAACGTTACAACGACCACCACTGTCCACCACTGTCCACCACTTCCAACCACACCACCATCACCACCACATCAAATAAACCCAGCAGCAGCAACAACAACAACCCACCAATCACAACAACAAATCAAAATAACAAATCACAACACGAACGCCAACACCAAGACTGCTTTGCCGCTTTGCCCTGACTGCACACCAATTTCAGCAATCACACTGGCAGGGGCATCAGTGACTGCCTGTGAGCCTGGAAGGCTTCTATGAATAGCAACTGAGACTTGGTCGTTTTCTGTGGGTACAAGAGACTTGTGGTTCCTCGAAAAGCATCCAGAAGAGTTTGGTAGGGTACCTGAGCTGACCAGATCAGAGATTGTTGGACTACAGGCCGCAGGACCCACGATGAACTTTGATGATTGCACTTGCAAGTCTTAGGTCTTAGAGTGTTAGGTCTCAGCCTGAGCTAAAAACGTTGATAAACAATGGGTCACATGTCAGCATGAAGCCTGTCTCAAGTCTCAAATGAAAACCTCCACATGATGCAAACGTCAAAGAGTCATAGACAGAGAATGGCTAGACGAGGCACTGGTCCAATAATTGAACAAGTCTTCGAACATAAGCAGTGTAGTTGTGGTGAACCAATTCCAAAGCCAGCAATCTCAGAAAAGATTTCTCTTCCGCTTTCAAAAGTTCCGAGTATTCGGGCAGATGTGGCCGCAGGTCAGACACTGCCAGAGACATAGTCTTTTCAACCCATGTGTCGAGGCTCTCCAGTAAGGCTAAGAACTCATTCTTTACTTCCACAGCTCTCATGCAAACCAAAGCCACAATTGGAATGCCCCTGGTGCGTCCAAAGGACTGAGACAACCCCTCTGGGCCCTGCTTGCTCAATATGTTGAAGAAGTGTTGAACAGGTCCACGAGCAATGTTTGAAACGCGCAACACGAACCAGAAAATCACATCAGCCAAAGATATGAGAGATGCCTTAATCCATTTCGTCGTTTTCACTCGGTACGCTCTTTGCTCATCAATTGCCAGTTCATTGACATCATCACTACCATCCCTTGCAACCTGTTCCTGGAAGACCTTGTCTTCTTGCTCCCGCTGCGCCAGAATGCGCCTGGCCTCAGCTGTGTCAAAAACTGCAAAGAAGCTTGTGTAGATCCGGTGCGGGTGGTTCTGCATAAAGAAAGCTTCAGTACCTCAGGGCTCAGGACAGTCAGGACGGCGGTCTTCGGGAACAACCGCCCGTTCTTGGTAAGACAGTAAGACAGCAATATCCGGTTATTGTTTTAGGTGACCTTAAGCTAGATTGAAAAAAAGCGATGACAGTGGGGGGGTCACTAAAAGACTAAAAAGACCATTTACCAAGCCAAGGTGATTTGAACAACAGGGCCTTAGAGAGGAGGGAGAAGTACAATTTGGCGTGGTTGCAATGTAAACATCTGGATTAGGCCTTTGCAAACCCCCGATCAAGAGGCAAGAAAATTCAAAGGATCGACAACGACGACACCGAGGAGGATGACAATGGTGGTGATGACGATAATGAAGATGAAGATGAAGATGATGATGATGATGATGATGATGATGATGCCGGTGGAGTGTCAGTGGTGACGGTAGCGATGCTGATCATGAAATGGTCATGACGACGAGGACGTGAGGACCATGGTGCTTGATGACTTTGCTTTTGTTAAAGATGGTCGTGATGATGGTGGCAGTGGCGATAGTGGTGGTGGTGATGCTCATGGCTGCATGGTGGTGAATTGATTTCACTTTTTGAAATTTAAGATCAACAACATGGGATAAGCAGCGGATAAGCATGTAGAACTATGATCACGATGACTATGGCTGTGTGGCTGGTGCTATTGATGGTGGTGGTGGTCAAAGTGTCGGTTGATGTTGACGGCGTACAGCGTTGATACTGTTGGGTGGTTCCATGGATGGCCATGCTTTTGATCACGGTGATGGGTCGTTTTTGATCAGAATGCTGAATGCTGGCTGATGATTTATGGCGATGGTATTGTATGATTATGAAGGACCGATCAGCACACGAATGGACGAATGACTTAATTTCTTGATGACTGAACGAATGATTGATTGAATGAATGTTAATGAATGAAAATGAATCTAGCCATGTGGCCATGTGGTGGGTAGTGGTCATGATGATGATGAACATGACCATGATTGGAACCCGAACAACAAAAACCCTGCTGTGGGGACACGAAGCAAATACATGAGCCACATTTTTGGGGTATATGTTATTTCGCAATCTCTGCTTCTTGCTTGGAAAGCTATGGCTATGAGCTATGAGCAAATGAATCGCAACAGATCTACTGTACCGAACAAAACTGGTGAAGAAAAAGTGTGTTGAAGCAAATCTTTTTGTGACCGTGGACGCTGCCCCACCGCCCTGACAGTGGAACAGGTGGCAGCACACGTACTGCACGGTCTTCCCGGGCAAACTCGGGGTACAATAGTTTCCATGCCGCTGAAACTTTCTTAGCATGGGCCCTCCATGTGTGACATACTTGTGCTAAAGCAGAAAAGTACCGCCACTTGACCCCTCCAGTCTTCAACAAATCGTTAGTCAGCTTCAACGAATCTTTGACCAACAAATGACATTGGTGCTTCAAGCATCCAAGATCAAAAAGAAATTGTTGTTTGAACTCTTCCCCTGTGGCCAGTAGAGACTTGATGGCATTGCGTGATCCAATTTGGTCTGGACCGCAGTCTGAAGTCCACGCCCACACATGGAAATACTGCTTTGGTAGTTGGTGCGACCTTGGCATGGGCTAGGCTTTCTTGAGGTCCTTACCAACAAGCAAGCCTATAGGGCATAAGGGCCAAACACTGGCAAGAAGGCAAAGCACACAAACACAAGATTTGTGACGAATCGGACGACCCACAAAAATTGTCGAAACAAAGTTCTGACTCATCTTCATCACCATCATCATCATCATTAATTTTATTATTGTTATTGTAATTATTGTTATTGTTATTTCTCCTTCATCAGCACCATCGTCATCGTCATCATCTTACTATCATCACCATCCTCACCATCACCATCGCCATCACCAAACCCGAGACCATCATCATCGTCATCACCATCATCATCATCATTATCACCAGCAGCATCTTCATGATCGCAGTCACAATCACCATCACCAACAACACTACCATCACTATCACCGCAACAATCGCTGTCATCATGGCCATCATCCTCGTCACCGTCATGAGCAGCCTCATCATTTACTTCCCAATATCGCATTCGTCACACCCATCAGCCATCAAAAAAATATATGCAGATCATCGCTTTCACTTTAATGTTCATTTTATCAAAACACCAGTGTCATCATCACCATTATTATCATCATCATCATCATCCTCGTCATCATCATCGCCATCGTCATCGTCGTCGTCAAAGTCATATTGTCGTCGTCATCATCGTCATCATGTCCATCATTCACACCACCTTTAGCCAGTTAGGAGCCAATGGTTGAATTATCGAATCATCCTCAGAGCCATCACCGTGAAATCTGCCATGCTGCCATCCGATGGTTCTTCAATCAATCAGTCTGTCAACCAATCAATAAAACACCATCAAACAATTAGACAATCAATGAATCAACCGCTCATCAATCAAGCAATCGATCAATCACGAATCAATGAACCAACAAATCAATGAATTAATTGATCAGGGAAGCAATAAATCAATGAATCGAGGAATCAATGAATCAATGAACCAATGAATGAATGAACCAGTCAATCAATCAATGGTTCAATCAATCAATCATTCATCAATCCCGGAGCAGACACTACATTACATTAGACATGCGCTCACGCACTTGGACCTGACAAACTGGCAGGCACCCCAAACCCAAATCAGGCACTTTCAGCAACATTGCTGCTACATTGCTACTATATCATATCAGTAAAATTTTGGATCTGGGTTTTTGTGATTGTTTTTCATGTTGTCGCTTGGCTGGCCCCAAGCATGCAAGAACCTATTAGTTGTCCAAGCCGTGAAGGAATAGCACACATTGCAAAGACGAGCGGAGCTGTGTATCTTCGGCCTGGGTATTTGATTTTGTTATATTTTGTTGGATACATGGAAACTATACAGACTCCTGCGCGCAATTCATCATCAACAGGCCGGTAAACGGTGAAAACGACTTGCTAATCTTTTTGGCATCAGGATTATCGATGTCACTGGGCGCAATGACATGCAAAGGAAACCCTTGGCCATAGCACAGCGCATGAAACATGGCAGCGAAATAGAAGGGCTCAAGGGTAGCGGTATCACGTTCTTGCGCGACGTCCTTTGAAAAGATGTCAGTCCTGTTGGTTGAAAAGTAACATATGCTTGCACAAGTTTGTGTTGGCCATTCTGAACTCACAATTCTAGACTTGACTACACTACACATCACACCTGCGGTGTGCAAGCTCCAAATGGGAAAAACTAAGGTACTAACTTCTGTGCACAAGCAATGTCATCCCACGTTCGAATGTTCAAGGAGCGAAGCTGCTTCTTGATCATTGCAATATTTCCTCCAGCCGTGCCTGACCCAACAACCTGAAGATCAGTCCTTGGCATCGGGCCCAGGACGGGGAAATCTGTGGGGAAGCAAAAGGATACCTAGAGACCCCCTAGAATGTGCCTTGCAGGGGCCCTAATACATACCGATGGAATTTGCTCAGGAAAGGAAACCTATAGCTACAGAGTTGGAGCCATCAATCAAGAACAAGATGCAAAGTTTGTAGGACAGCAAATGCGTTGCGATATCCACCAACTGAAGACAGCTGTGCTGGGTCCACCAAGTACATGCTGGTAACGAGCAACCCGCTAAGCTTTGAGTTCTGGTAAATCCCACTGTTTGTCGCATCTCCAGTAAATTCCGTTCCTCCCAGGATGAAATGTTTGTTGGCATTATGACTGTCAGCCACACACATTTGCGCACCGTCAAAACATCTGGGTACTTTGAAATCTGCCATGAGCGCATCAGCCTCTGAAAAAACATCAGGGTGTGCATGTTGTGCGTGAGCAGGGGTGCAAGATACAAGCTGATGGTTCTCGGTTTCTGTTCTCATTCTCCATACACAGATGGAACGAAGCCTCTGACGAAAAAAATTGTGAAAAGCCCGGGTCCGAGCAACCCAAGTAGCCCATACTGAAATTTCCGCTCTCACCACAGTCCACCTTGACACATCGAGTAAAGCTGAAAGGGGGAAGCCGACGGCACTTGTCAGTGCGAGTGACTTTCTGACACCTAGTGCGATGGACCCCCGCGTTGTCAAATGTACTTTGCGACGGGTAATCTCTAGGTCCCACGTTTCAGCTTTCGCTTTGTCCTCTTTGTCTTGATGTTTCTTCAGTTCACGCTCTGCTACAGCCAACTTTTTCTTAAGCATTCTTAAGCTGTTTCACCTGCACCCGAGCCTGGTCACGCTGCTGTTCAGTCTTGCGCAGCCTATCAATGATAAATTGTTTGTGACAAAGTTGCAAATTTTCATCGTTCTGACACATTTGACGGACAACTTGATTTTGTCCCCTGACCATGACTTCGCTGAGGGGCTGGGATTGGTCAGACTGGTCAATCTGCTCTTCAAACATGGAAAATGACGAGCTTGCTCGTGACATGGTTGACAAAGACAAACGTGGTGCTGCTGATGATGATGACTGCGAATTTGATTCATCACCTGCATCACCTGATCCACGACCGCGAGATGCTTCCAGCACCCGACGGCGTTTAAATTGCGAATTCTGCTCAATTGGAATTGTCAAAGGGGCATGATCTGAACCCTCTAGCCCTGGTGGTGCAGACCTACATCCCTCATCACTGCGCAAGGATATGCCACGGAATAAGACTGGCACCCTGAACTCTGTAGGATCCCTCACACGGCGATCATATTCTGCCTTAACCATTGCCTGCCAGCGATCTTGATAAATATCTTGCCAGCAAGCTGATTGCTTGCAGATAAAGGGAACAATGGCAGAAAGGCGATACAAAGCAAGCGCTGAAGTCATTGGAACCGTTGCTGTTGCCGTTGCCCTGTAATGATCCTGGGGTATTGTCCACATCAGAGGCATCAAGTTTTTTCTTGAATAGAAAAAATGAAAACCAATGAGTGGGAATATACAAAGGATACCGGGAATATCAGAATACCAAGAGGAAACAAAATATCATATCTGGGAAATGTGATGCTAGGTATTTAAAAAACCATAAATTGAATTGCACTAGTTTATATCTATAACATACCTTGTGCATCCTTGCGTACCCTTGCGTATCCTTATGTATCCTTATGTGTCTTTCGGATTTGTATCGCAGTGGGATTCCAAAAATATCAACTATTTCGGGGGATTGACCCCAAACACCAGTTGCCTGATTGAAGGTAGTTGATGATAATGGCTCTGTCGTGCAACAGGAGAGATAAAACCCTAAACCCTAAACCCTAAACCCTAAACCCACACTTGAATAAATCCATTCATTAACTAACAGTGACATGACGTAGCATGAAGTAAATATCTACCAGTCGGTCTATCAAGTCTATCGGAAAAAAGTGGACCATGAAAATACAGTGACTACCCGGAACCCCAGAAAACTTCAAACAGTGATTTCGGGCCAAAACCAATCCAACAGAATTGTGCCAACAATATCCCGAAGACATTCTTGGACAGGATCTTTGCAACATTTCGCTTGCAGTCAGATTCCCTTCGATAAGATGATTTGAAGAGCGTGGCATAGAAAGACTCCAACCTTAGGAACAAAGCGAACCAGGGTTTCTGCATAGCATGCAGCATTCCATTCATGCATGTGTGCTTGCGAAAGTCTTTAAAGAACATGTCACCTACTACATTTATAAAAAATGGGGCGACTTCGCTGAAGTGGGCCATTGTTGTTTCAGCTCACACACAACTGTTGAACCCTGAAACCCAATCCGCTTATCGTGTAATTACCTATAACTGAATATGTCATGAACTTAGTCCAGAGTCCATTAGTCATGAACCCACCTGTTGATTCCAACATTTTGTTTTGGAAACAACCTGGGGACATGATCTCAGTTTTGCTTTGCTACCCTTGTGCTCGAGAAAAAGAATCACAATCACAGGTTGATTTTTTTCCGGACCTTCTCCCTAGATATAAACATATATATATATTTAAATAAAAATATGTCATATAATATATATATATATATATATATATATGTTATATATTATATATTATATATAGTAAAAAACATAACATATATATATATATATGTTGGTCTCAGCATCGTGGCCCCCAGCTGCTTTAGACTTTAGACTAGTTGCTGTTCACCCGTCACCAGAAGATCATCTACATCGCAGCTCAGCTGGGACAAAGGAAGCAAGCGCTGAGCAGAAACTAAGAAAATCGCCATGGCAATCCCCCACACAACGCACTTTGTGTGCATGTTGGTGGCGGCAGTGGGTTCAGCAAATCTTGACAAAGTGTCTACTATAAGATGTATATAGGTCATACTAATTTTCAGGTATCATACGTGCAATCTCCCCTCTCAAGATGAATGTGTGACATACTGGCATCGTATGTCCACGTGTTGAATGTGTTGGTTCAAACCTTACAATCCTGATCAATCCTGATGATAATAGTTTTGTTTTTTCAATCACGTCGTGTTAAGCGCTGGAGTACTTTTGTCTTTGTATAGTTTTTTTCCCGACGGTTTGCCAAACCATAAGTAGCTGTTGCATTTGCATCGTCAGTGTCTTTTTTGCATCGTTGGTGTCTTTGATGTATCATTTCATAAGGTGAGGTGAGCAGCGCTGGTCCCCTGAACAGTACTGCTGCAATTTGGTGGCCAGCTTAGGCGAAGCACCTTTGACCCCAAGGCAAAGTTGTCTTCCCTATGTTTTGGGGTGTTCCTCATTTCTTTTTGGAAATGTACACCCATGGTGGTGCCACATGTTTGTATTGAACCATCCAAAAAAAAAACACAAAATCAATCCAGATTTGGTCTCACAAAAACCCTGGTGGGTCTCACAAAAGATTGATGGGTTCACAAACCCTTTGTTTTGATCCAAAAAATGTTGTTTGCTCCCAACTAATGTTGAAATTTACACTATGGGTTGGCTCCAAAGAAACCATGAGACACCCCCTTTTTTTTGAAATCAATGTTGCGTGCATTTGGAAACTATGATGTTTCACACATTTTCTGAAAACATTCACCACAAAAAACATGCACAAACAAACTTGTTGGATCAACAAAAAAAATGTTGTAGGCTTAACTTTAGCATAGCTCTATACAATTCTATACATATACCCTTATAAGAAGGCTGCCCCTCCAGCACTTGACTGTGAGGTGCTCTTGATACCCTGTCAGCTCACCAGAGCCAGCTTTGCACATGCTTAACTGTTTGATAGTTTGATATAAGGTTTTTTTAAACCACCCAGGCTTTGCTGGAGTCAGTAAGATCTTAGGCGAGTACAAGTGTTCAAGCCATACTCACCCTCCAAGTTCTTTTGCCATCCACACTTTTTGACGTAGCCCACCAAAGCTGCCACATACGCCTTCACCCGTGAAACCTCTTCCCATCGTTATAGTAGGCATCTCATCCTGTGCGCTTCTCCAAGCTTCCAAGCAACTACTAGCCCAGAAACTTTCCTGAACCAACCTCCACTAGAAGTTCCTCGAGGAGGCACGAACTCTGGTACCTGAGAATGAACAATACTAGATGCATAGATCAAGAAACTTGAATCCCACACAGAAAGCAAAACCATAGAAACATATGATGCTTGAGAAAATGTATGAGTTTCCTATCAGATACATCTTGAGTAGAGGACGGCCCAGTCGAAGCTTGAGAGCCTTTTTGTTTGGTGCAATAAAGAAGCTTCTTCACCTGGTCAGGAGTACAGGTCAACCTCCCCCATTGCTTCTGGAACTGGACCAGGTAGTTCTTTGGGGATGCATGCTGCTGAAGCCTCAGAGGGGGTACTTCAGGAGTGGCAGGTGCCAACAAACCAACATCAGGTTGAACTGGCAAAACCGTAGTTGCACTGGCTGGTGAAGACGCGCAGATACCTGGACTTGGGCCAGGTGCCATTGCCATAGAAGCTTCAAGTAGTGGTGCACCTGGGTGTTTGGGTTTAGAACCTTCCACTTCTCGCAGAAAACCAGATCCACTACTGGGCTCACCTGGTGGCTGTTCTGGCAGGTCAGGCATCAGGCCATCCATCTGCAGCCTGTATGCAAAGTTCACCAAGAGGTCCAAGGTCTGCTTTTGCAACTCTTCTTCATTCAAAGGATCCTGAGAGGGGACGACAGCGGGGCCAAAAACAATGAAGTGATGAGTATGACAAAATGAAGGGGGTTGGCCGCCATCACCCTCCCTCTTCATCACTACAGGTGGAAGTGGTGGAACATGTTTGCATTGCTTTGTTGCTTGTGTTACATGCCCATGAGGTTCCTTTAAGGTTTTTTCTATAAAACTATGCTTAATACTAAGATTGCAACTGCAACTACAAACTCCTGACAACCAAAACATTCCCATGCATGAGCGCACAAGAGTCCCAAACTTGCATGCTCCAAAACTTTGTAGCTTGCAGGGATGGAAAGCAACACAATTGACACTGGAGGACTCTTCTGCCCAGAGTTCAAATTGGCGTGCGTTCGCGCGTGCTGGTGACAGCATCTCTTGGAGCAGAAAACGGACGCTGCGCAGGTTGAGGGGCAAGGGAAAAAATTGCGACTTTCTGTTGAACTTGTACACACATGTAGACATATTTACTTGTGTATATAGTATATATGCATATAGAATGACGTTTGATTACGTTTGTGCGAGGAGGAACGAAATAGACCCCAAAGGTCCCTGCCACATATATATATATACCATAAACATCCATAAACCAACCTACAGTAGACGTGTTTTATTTCACCCACCTTCCCTTAACCGTTCTTCATCCTCCCCCGGCGCCCTCGCGTCCCATCTGCGAGGCTTCAGTTCTGGCACGACGAGGAGGAACGCACGGAGCTGGCCTCGCTGCTGGCGCTGATCTCGGGCGGCTGGTTGGTGGCCATGGGCCTTTGCAACGCGGTGCCTTGGCGAAACCGCTGGGATGAGATGGCAGTTGGAAACTGATGATGGATTTTTTTTGGCTGAGAGGGTATAGTGTATAGCTGAAATGTCTAGTATTGATGAAGTACGTCAATGTCATGTGTTTGGAATACAGAACATGTTAGGGAATCTATAGATATATGATATATACTATATAGTAGCTGGGCAAAATCTACAGTTTTTGATGGGAAGAGTCACATCTATTGTTTTTTTCATGGTGGGTTTTCCAGAATACTTGCTTGGCTGATACAGAGGGTATGGCCGGGTATGGATAGTGATAAACCACCATCAATAGCAGGGGACTTCTGAAGAACCCAGGATT